CTATGAGTCGGAAACGACTCGACGGCACTTAACAACAACAACAACATAAGATGTCTGATATCTTGACTGCTGCTTCTATTGGTGTTGGTTGTAGAACCAAGTAATATGAAGACTTTGACAACTTCAGTCTTTTCTCCATTTATCATGATGCTGCTTATTGGTCCTGTTGTGAGGATTTTAGTTTTCTTTATATTGAGGTGTAATCCATACTATAGACTGCAGTCTTCAATTTTCATCAGTAAGTACTTCAAGTCATCCTCACTTTCAGCAAGCAAAGTTGTGTGTTGTCTGTATAACGTAGGTTGTTAATGAGTCTTCCTCCAACCCTGATGCCACATTCTTCTTCAAATAGTCCAGCTTTTCAGTTTATTTGTTCAGCATACAGATTGAATAAATATGGTAAAATAATTTATCCCTGACACACTCCCTTCCTGATTTTAAAGCATGCAATAGATAGGCATAGAGGGTGAACATTTACATCAGGTAGACACACTCCTTAGACTCATCAAGAAGGGCAGTGTTTGCACAGGGAGACAGCAGGCAAGCATAGGGAAGAAGGAAACAGGAAAGAGGTAACTACAGAAGGAAGTGGGAAGAGAGCTGTTACATTGTGGGGATTGCAGTCAATGTCATGAAACAAAATGTGTATGAAGTGTTGTATAGACAATGAATTTGCTCTGCAAACATTCACCCAAATCACAATAAAAATTTTAAAAAAAGAAAAAATATATATCTCCTATGATCAATAAGATTCTCAAAGTAATACTCACTCTAATCAATATCTCCATTTGAGTATCTAAAAGGCAATTTAAGTTTAACGTGTCCCAAGAATTTTGTTATTCTGTACTGCCCCCACTATTTCACTTCAAGTCTTCCGTACTTCATAAATGCCACTATATTTATATTGCTCAAGCCAAAAACATCAGAGACATCTTTTATTCCTCCCTTTCTGTCACCTCTCCCCACCCCATAACCTATCAGCCATTCCTGACTATTTAACATCCAAAGGATATCCAGAATCTACCAACTTCCCTTCATCACCACTGGGCTGAGCTGCTTTTGTCTTTCACCTGGCCTTCTGCAGCAGCCTCCTAAGTATCTCTCAGCATGTACTGTTACCCATTCTACAGCCCATTCTTCACATAGCAACCTAAGTTTTCATGTCATGCCCCTCCGATCTTTAATATTAATAGCATAATATCCAAACCTCTTACCATGGTTTACAAGACCCTACATGATCTTTCTCTTACTTCATAACTTACCATGCTGTCCCATTCACTACATTCCTACTACACTGGCCTCCTTGCTCGTCCTCAAACAAAAAGATCTTATTCTCACTTTGGGGTCGATGCTGTTTCTGCTGTCTGGAAAGTCATGCTTCAAGATCTTCACATGACTGGCTAGCCATGGCTACCCACATATGGTGGGCAGGTTGTCCATTGCACAACCAATATAAGACTGTGCAGTGGCCCTGATTGGCTAATCTTTGCAATTCAATTATGCTTTAAATGTTACTTCCTCAGAGAACTCGTTCCTGACCACTCAAACTATAGAAGACTCTCTCATGCATATCAAAATAGTTCCCTATTTTTCCTTCAGTATGATCATCCAGTTTCAAGTTCACTTTCTCAGTTTTCCCTTCAGTACCCTTCTAGAACAACCCAAAATACATCCTTGAGTATGAGAAAGACCCCTAGAACCCTCCCTCCATTCAGTTGCAGGAGAAAGATCAGCCCAAAAGAACATATTCCTATGTGGGCAGAGTCCACAAATTTGTAGGGCCTCAACAGTACAAATTTTCCACATAAGACAAGAGGGCACCTATTATTCTGGCTTGGAACAAAGGGGCCATCATGGTAGTAGGGGTCCCCCAGCCTTCATCAAATGCTAACTGTAAGTTGCGTCTAGTGATGCCCGTCCTGAAGCATGGCTCATTGATACTTTCAAGTGCCACGTCTGAGATCACTAGCTAGAGATCTGGCACCGTGACTATAAATGTAAATGTGAGGTTTAGTTTTGCCTCAATTATTATTTTTCTTACCTCATTAATTCTCTTTTTGTGAACCTTTATAAAGAAAGGTCCCATGTACTTGAATTCAGGTTAAAAAAAAAAAAAAAATGGTGAAAGCTGGAAAGACCATGTCCTACTCCACAGCCAGGTTTCAGGGCGACAGATCCAAAGGGGAAGAATCAGAACAGGAGATGTATAAGGAGAAGAGAACAGTGGAAATTCTAGAGCCCTTAGTAAGAGTGAAAAGGAGAGTTGTCAAGCTCACTTAGGCCTAAACCACTGCCATGACATTGATTCCAACTCATCACAACCATATAGGACAGAGTAGAACTGTCCCATAGGGTTTCCAAGGCTGTAAATCTTTACAGAAGCAGCCTTTCTCATCTTTATCCTATGGAACAGCTGGTGGGTTGGAACTGTTGACCTTGTTAGCAGCCTAATGCCTTAACCACTGGCCACCAGAGCTCCTCATTTAGGCCCAACGGGGTAAAAACAAGCTGAACAGTGGAAATGAACCTCTTAGAGTAGGACTGCCAAAGACTGGGTCTTCAGCTAATTTTACAGAATATCTAAAAGATTCCATTCAGATTTACACCTCATTCAGTATAAATGATCTAAGTACCTGCTATGTATCAGGCTCTATGCTAGCTAGGCACTGGGATACACTGATAAACAAGAGAGACCTAATCTTGGCCCTGGGTTGCTTATTACTAGGTAGGAAGTCAAAATCTAATAATCACACAAATAAATACATCAATTCTGTGAAGAAATGAGGACGCTATGAGCAAACATATTAGGAGGCCTTGACTTCAAGGTGGTCTGGGAGGACATCCCTGAGAAGGTATCTGTCCTTTATCCCACGGAGCTCTTTACTAGAAAACTTTTAGAGGTCTACGTGTCCTTGAAATGTTAACACTCTAAACTCCTCTTAACCTAATTACAGTTACTTCAGCGTAATTAGGTTAAGTGTATCTTCTTGCGATCCTAATCAATCTCTAGCCTAGAGGTGTGGATTTTTGGATTCACACCTCTATCATTTTCTTCTCAGTATCTATTTTTACCTCTTCCTCCCCACCTTCTCTCAGAAAATGGTGCAGAATTCTTAGCTGACTCTGTGTCTTAATGGGCTATTGGTTCTCTGTCCCTTTTTAAAGCTTATTTACTTATACTATGTAATTAATGCTTTAAGTCCTTGCTTTTCTAAATCATGCACCAATTAATTTGAAACAATGAGCTAAGTTTATTAGATGGCAGTGCTTTTCAACAAATATTCACAATGCAATTCTTCCCTAGAGTGCCATCAGAGAAGGCCACTGTAGTCACAGGTGCTTACTGGGAGGCCACTAGATGTATTCAGAGCACCCTCCAGCTCTCACATTCTGTTAACGCAGCCAGTTTCATCTGGGTTTTGCACTAGTGCTGCCTTTGCTTTTGTTTGTCTTGTTGTCTGCCCTGGATTCTAGTCCAAAATGAGCCCTTTCCACTCCCTAGTCCGAAGGAGATTGTGTCTGTCCACAGGTGTGCACTGGCACGTTACTCTTTTTCTTAACTTTGAAACATTTTATCAGTTGCAACACTGTGAATTTTCATTTTGCACCACTTCCTCCTGCACAGATGGTCTTCAGAACACAATCTGTTTTCCCACACCTTTGGACCTCTGCACAATGTCTGCCTAAGACACTGCCCTCCTGGAAAATATCTCCTGGAAAGGCCTTCCTACACACCCCCCACCAACTGCCATCAAGTGGATTCTGACTTATCGTGAACCAATAGGACACAGTAGAATTTCCCCATAGGGTTTTCAAAGCTATAAATACTTACAGAAGCAGACTACCACATCTTTCCCTAGAGAAGCAGCTTGGTAGGTTCAAACCACTGTCCTGCTTAGCAACTGAACCAAAAGGGCTGCAAACCACTGCGCCACCAGACGGATGCAAATGCTTCTTTGTCTGTGCTGTCATTAAATGATATATTTATACATATATAGTAAAATTGTAACTAAAAGCAAAAGAATCATGAGCACAGATTCTGAGCAGTTCCTCTTTGGGTAGGAGGGGCTCACAATTTGAAGGCTACAGAGTAGACGGTGCCTTAGCTACAAATGTGCACTGAAGGGTATACATGCAGGGTCCCCACTTGGCACTGGGAAGGGAGCCAGTTGTGCTATGTGACAGAGTTATGGGCTCTACAAATTGAGAGGATGCTACAGTCCTCCTACAATGACTTCTTTGCTCAGGACTGTTGACTGAGTTTTCTAGGTTTTCTTTTCATTTTTGCCCTAGATTTAACTTTACATCCCCTGATTAGACATGAGTGGAATTGGTTCAGACAGGAGCTGGCAATAGGGGTAGGCTAAAAATAAAGACCTCAACTACATGGGAAGCTCTGATGAGAAAGGATACAATTAATAATCTTCACTCAACAGGAAGCCAAGGTGTAAGTAATTCATCTCTAAATTTGCAATGCTGACTTTATGATCATTTCAAACAACTTATGAGAATTGCTAATGAGAATGCAAACCAACTCAATATTCAGAACATTAAAAACCAATCGTAATTTCTGCTCACTGCCCCATATGTCATCCTACTTTCACACAAAGATGCTGCCCTTCTGGATCTGACTCTGATGTGCACAGCATAAGGATGGAACTGTAAAATTCTTAGAGGTCAGAAGCTTTACAGTGAGATGGCAATGTCATCAGCAGCACATGGGGGAGATGCACACATCATTGCTAGCAGTGGGTGACAGAAAATAATACTTACCACATAGTCTGGCTTGTAAATCATTGCAGATTTTCATTCACTTATCCATCCACCCATTCTTTCCTTAAACAGTGTCCCAGGCCCACATTAGGCATTAAAGGATAGAAAGTTGAATATGTTTCTAGCCTCATAAGAGCTCCTTGTTAGAAAGGGATACAGACAAGAGGACAGACGATTATAAGCAATGTAACAAAGTGCTGTGACAGAGTAAACATGAGGGCTACCAGACATGTAGTGTTATGAGGCACATTATTTACATAGAGTAAAATGTGAATGGTGCTCCCTGAAGATATGTGTTAGTACTGAGGGTATGCTGGAACACAAGATAGGGGGTGAGGAGGGCAGAAAAGCCTCCTTTAGAAGATGGTATTGTCCCGGATTTTTAAGGATAAGTACGAACTGGCCACATGAAGGTCAGAGATAGGGAGATATGCAGGAAGGTATAGTTTTGTTTGTCATGAAATAAAGTTTATTTTCGGCTTGAATCATTTACTCACGAGGGTATGCTGTCTATTTCTTGTCAGTTCCCTTCATTCTTAAGAAAATTTTAAGTTTGGTAATCCACAAATGCCATTTTAGACAGGAAAAAGTTTCACAATGTCCAGTAGACATAGTGTCAGTAACTATTCTGGGGAATCTGGTATTTGAAAACATGATGGAACAAATGCATTTAAAGAATGATTTTTTTAAAAAAATAGCTTTTATTATTTGATTGCCAACTCTGTACCAGGCCTCAGACAAGGTTCTTTATAAATAACATCTCAGTTGATCCTTGCAAAGATACTACATGGTATATTTTAGATACTGCAACTGAGATTCACAGCAAAAACATTCACCAGCCCAAAGTCACAAATACAGTAGGTGGAGGACTAGGTTTGTCTGACTCTAAAACTTTTGTTCTTGGGGAAAGGAAATGAATAAAGAAATAGTAAAACTTTAAGAAAGCATGTAGTCTCCCTGCTCTACATCTCTCCAGAGGTTTGTTTTTTGTTTTTTTTTTTTCATTTTCTCCAGAGGTATTTTTGCAAGAGAATCTCAACCACCTCACCACCACCAATGACTACTGGGAATTCATTTTTCCTCCCATAGATGAAGTGAAAATAGAGTACAAGTTCGGAACTAGTGTCCTTTCATATGGCCACTTATCTCAAGTGAGCCACATTTCTGAGGAACATTTCCAATACTTCCTTACAAATCATCTGTGTAGCTTCCAAACCACCAGACAATGACTCTGCTTCAATACAATGATTAGAAGTTATAATGTGGTGGAGAATTTTATTACTGGTAAGAATTACACAAGTGTACCCCCACTTTCTCTAATCTACAACAGCATAAGCCTAGAAGGGACAATATTCATCAACACAAAAGAAAAAATAAGGAACACTGATATTGAACCACAGTACCCACTGGCATAAACAACAGAAATACACTCTCATTTTCTCTCAGAAAAGTCTTGAGTCATTGCTTACCAAAACATTTCCGAATCACAAATTTGAATAAAAAGGAAATCCTCCCATATTTCAAATCTCCATAAATAATAGCAATACGTACGCAACTACCTAAGTCAGAAACATAGAATCATCCTAGATTCTTTCCTCTCCCCTAACCCACATACCCAAGTACTTAAAATACTAATTCCCCAATATTTCTAGAAAAGTTCCTTACTCTTCATCCCCATTTCTACTGCCACATCATTGTCTCTTAACTCGATTATTAAAATAGACCCTAACAGGTCTCCATGCCTGAGTTTCAGCCTCTTAAGATCTCAAAATCATTAAACCATTAAACTCATTTCCTATCTTAAACCCTTTGGTGTTTCTTATTTACTAGATAAAATCCAAGCTCCTTAAAGCACTTTAAGATCTGCCCCTATTTGCTTCTCTAGCTTCATTTATCACCACTTAACCTTACTTCCCTCAAATCTAGATAGCTACAACCTTCTCTGGATCTGGATCCTATTCTGCTGCCTACAACTGTCCATGAACGGACAATCCACCATTCGGCCTGGTGATCTTGGATTCATTGTCTGTCTAAGTCAACAGCTGGTATACTATCTGCAACCTTGAGCTTGTCAGCCCCCATAGGTACGAGAGTTGGGAAAAGACTCCATTTTGACATTTGATCTAGGAACTTGGCACTAGTCAGTTTTTATAACTGTGGCAGCCATTTTCCTAAGATAAATCAATTTCTCTCTCTCTCTCTCTCTCTCTCTCTCTCTCTCTATATATATATATATATACATACACACACACACACACACACACATACACATATATATACAAGTTTAACTCATATGAGTCAGCCACAGGGATCCAGGTGAGGGGAGGGAACCCAGGCCACACCCCAAAGCAGCAAGGCGGGAAAGCAGGTGAAAGGACAGAAAAAGGCCAGGGTACTGGGACAGAGTGAGGAGGCAGCAGTAGGGATCCAGGTAAGGGAAGATTTGAGAGGTTTCAAACAGCTAAGGGAGGCAAACTGTCTGTCACTTTGTCCTACTGTGGTGACGTGTTGCTGTGAGTCTTGAGGCTGTGCCACCAGTGTTTCAAACCCAGCAGGGTGCACATGCTGTACAGGTTTAAGTGGGGCTTGCAGACTGA